TATCTGTGGACCTGCACTCAGGCACAGATCACCATTTTTGTCAAGGAAAAGGAGACAGGGAGAAAAGAAAGATAGAAACCTTTAACAAGAAACTACATTACACATTTACCAATATGTAGAATTATTGGTTGAGGTTGAATTTGATACAGATCACTGCAGAACAGAGTGGAATGAGAGCTGATGTCTTTTTAAAATACCACATTCAAGTAGCTTTATCACAGCCTTTCCCAAGTAATTCTAAAAAAATTTACATCCATCAATGATTCCAAATCTGATCTGGAAAGAGTTCAGCAGAGAAATTACTCCGGCAGACATGATCTGATTTTGCAACAGGACAAGAAGTGGTGCAAAGTCAGAATTACCTTCACTTTAAAAGGCACTTGCCCTCCTGCATTAAATTTCTACCTAAATTGGCCCCACTTCACAACCTACCCACCTATAAAATATACACCAGATTACAAGGATTAGGAAGCTTGAGGTTTTATCAATTCAAACGTGCAATCATTCCTGAACTTCATGATACCTAACTACAGATTTTTACTCAAGAGCTTCTGAGAAAAAAAAACAGCCATAACTGTAGAATTTCATATCAAGTGTATGGTATCAAGACAACTCCATTTAGAGTTTGAACATATATGCTGCAATTTCACTATGGAAAACACCAGTTAAAGCCAATATTCAAAAAAAGTGATGCATATGGAATACAGCAGTTAATTAAAAACTACACACATCAAGCTAAACTTAGCTAGTTTAATCTTGTGCCACACAAGGGATGGTGATGGCCCAGTGGTATTATCGCTAGACTATTAATTCAGAGACCCAGGTAATGTTCTGGAAACCTAGGTTCAAATCCTGCCATGGCAGATGGTGGAATCTGAATTCAATAATGATCTGGAATTAAGAGTCTAATGATGACTATGAAACCATCGCCGACTGTCAAGATAAACCTATCTGGTTGACCAATGTCCTTCAGGGAAGGAAATCTGCCATCCTTACCTGGTCTGGCCTACATGTGACTCTAGACCCACAGCTATATGGTTGACTCTTAACTGCCCTCTGGGCAATAAATGCTGGTCCAGCCAGCGATGCCCACATCCCATGAACGAATTTAAGAAAAACCAATTTTGAGCAACTTTGGATCAATTCCATAGCCATTCATATTGGGCAAATAGTTCCTGAAATTCCTGAATCACCCCCCAAAGTCCTAAATTAAAAAACACATAAAAATTAGACTTATTCAGCATTATTACATTTTCAATATTTGTGCATTAATTCCAGTATTTCTGCACTGCCCGTGTTTTTCCCCTTAATAGTCTCCAAGCACATTCAGCATAAAACAGACATAATGCAACCTGTAAAAGAAAATTTAATACAATGTGTTACTTACCTGGTTATTGGGAAATTGAAACTGAGCAGACTGCCTTCCAAAACAAAAGTGAAGCACATAATCTAAGGACGCAACATTCTACCATAGAGATATTTTTTGGGGGAAGAAATAATTTCAGTTTTACAGCAAGTAGAACTGCCACTGACAAAATCATTTAAAATGGGTAGCATATTATTTATGCAACTCAGGCCCATTACAGTTGTTGTATCACCCAATTGTCAGTCTTAAGATATTTAGGGAAATGAAATATTGTTTCCAGAATTAAAACCAGTCTTTGAAAGGTTCCCATTCCATAGAATGGCAAGAACTGTTAACAGATTCACGAATCAATCTAAAAGAAATGTCATGTTTGTCAGTAAGGTGCATTGCTCCAGCTCAAAAACGTACTTTTGTTGGAATTTTGAAATTTACTACTGCCTCAATCAAGTTGAAACAATACCTATACCACCTCCAGTTAGAGCAATATTCTGCATTACCAATTATACTGTGGCTTTAAGAAAGGACTATTTTAATAATCTGAAATAGAGCAACCATTTACAGATACATATTCTTTTGGGAAGAAGGAAAGAACACTCTGGATGTACATTCTGGTTTGCTCATTATGGCTATCCTACAAGTTTGATTTCTGGAGTTACCCAATATGGAATTAGAAACTTTCAATGATTTCAACAATTACCATCTCCGTTCAGAGGTAACTGCCAAGCAAAATTCTTTGTCAATTTGCTCATTACATCAGATGTCAAAATGTATCAACATAAAGACACTTTACACCAAGTGCAGAGCTCCCTAGACAAATGTTGCAAGAGCAATGCATACTTGCCACCTCTGATAAAACAGAAAGGACAACGTAAAATATGAATATTGAGGATTTTAATTCATTCAGCAGTTTGTTGCATGCAATGCTTCAAAAATGCAATTACAGAGAAAACAATCCACAAATAAATCTTGCAAAGTCATTATATTGAGAATGACTAGACAAACCTATCTCTAATAATTTTAGCAGACCTGAGTAAGCCGTTCATTCCCTTGAATGCTGGCAATCTATATCTCAACTCCTTGTGACACCTTTACATAACTGATATTAATTGAATTGGTGATTTTGAAATTTCCAACTGATTCAATATCTACGAAATGTAGAGATGAGTCCAGATTTCCAATACACTATAACAGATTCATTTCTGATTCCAAATTCACCGACCTAGGCCTAATGTTATGACTGTAAGTGAAAAAAGCCCTCAATGGCTCATTGTTCACAAATGCTACGGCATTCTGAGTAACTACTTTCCCCAAAGCAAAGTAACCACCAACACCTACAATTATTAGATCTCTATGCCAGAAACCAAATAAACAACCTTTATTTCCTACTTGCAGCCAGGTTCCATTATTTAATTTAGAAGATTCACAAATTCATCAAAGCATTTATTCATGCAGCACAAATTTTTGCAGGTATTTTAGTGGATGGCAAAACGGATTATTCATTTGTAAAACCCACCTTAATGTATGCAAGCTACCCGGTTTCATCTCATCTTTGAAATGGTCAAAGTAAAATCAGACTTACTGTGACACAAGTGAGACAGATGAGCATTTCCCATTACAGCATTAACCAGAATATAATTTTGTACCACCCCCTAAACACAAGTGTTATCTCATGAGGTGCCATTAGTAAAACTGATGTTATTCTGGAGCAGGAAATGCTATATAGGTTACCTGATAGTTTTGCGTTGTCGCCGGTGTTGGTTGTGGTGTAGTTTCTGGTGGTCTTTGTCCATAGTTGTAATCTGTCACAGAGTGCACGGCTGGATAGCTTCCATAAGCTGCTGAGGTCACTGGTCTCACTGCTTGTGTAGCGGGCACAGGAGCATACGCTGCAGTGACTGCATGGGCTGTCGGTGGAGCTTGCTGTACAGTGTAACTGGCTGGCGTGGATGGATGTGAATATGCAATGCCAGTGGCAGGCTGTGCACTAAAAGAACAAATCAGCATAAATCAGTCGGTCTAGAGGGAAAATATTTGGCAATTAGAGCATTTTTTCCATTAATATCCACAAAATTAACAGGAACATTCTTTAAAACAAACTTTGCAATTTTACCTTAACTGGGACCAGGGGCCCCTCAAGTTCTGCTGACTTTGCACAATGGAGTTTTACTGGGCCTTAGGTCTTACTCGCTAATTTTACGTGCTCAAGCTTTGTGGTTCTGAAAGTTTGGAAACAAGCAGGCAAATACTCAACAAGTTCACCATACAGAAATTGATGCATTATTATATCTTGCCTGCAAATTTGTTTGGTACCTATTATCAAGTCCACACAGACAAAAGTCTTGGAAAACTCTAATTTATGGTTTATTTACATTCTTTTCCTCCCTTAAAGTATATAACTTTATATTAGTCTGCATTGAATTACATGTCCAATATATCTGACCACTCTCCTATTCAGGTTACGTTCTCTTCCAATGCTTGGGTCAGTGGCACAATTCTCATGAGTTGGAATGTTGCAAATTCAAGTCCCACTCATATGTTTTGAGAACATAATTTAGTTTAACGCTTAAGTGAAGCACCAACGAAGTGCTGTCACGTTCAAGTTCTCACGCTTTAAACAAGACATTAAAACATTTAACCAACTTATTCAGGTCGACATACAAGATTCCAGTGCGCTGAAAGAAAACTAAGAAACTATTCTGGTGTCCTGACCAACATTCTTCCCTCAGCCAACATCAAAACAGGTTATCTGGCAAGTTTTCTGATTTATTTATGGAAAAATGTGTTGCACACAAATTGGTTATCCTATCTGTCGAAATGGAACAGTGACTAGAATTCTGAATTAAATAATTAGATTTAAAAACAATTGTGGAGAAAGAGCCACTTGAATGCAAACTTCTTTTCGGCGTATTTGGAACAGTAGCCACAGATTCAAATCATGAGAAGTTGATGGAGTAAATAGGGTCCAACAATTCTCAGTGGCAGAAGGGCCAGTAACTGAGTACAAAGATTGAAGACAAGTGGTGAAAGAATCGAGCCTTTCACTTCACAAATTTAGGTGACTTTCAGCTTCTTCGTTGTAATTATTTAGATTGCAAACAGCTGAATTCCCACCACTGACTGTTGCTGCACTCTTCATCCACAGGCTAACTTGAAAGTACTCCTTTTATGCCTCCTTGCTTACTGTCCATACTGTCGCGAGGTTGGATAGAGTACTTGTGGATTGGAAGGCAGGACGTTAGAATTTGGTGTTTGTGAAATGCTACGGGGAAAACAGTGCGTGGTCCCTTTACAAGATGATGTGCTTTTTCTATGCTTAGAGATTCAGAGAGGATGTCTGTGGGTTTGCAGGTGCACAGAGCACCTGAATTGAAACATTTGCATCAAAAGGTTGCACTGTTTGCAGTCAAAGCAGCATTTTACCAAGACAACAGGTTTTCAAATTTAGCCAATTAATTTAAACCAGGCCCTCAGATACCAAAAACCAATTAAATTTAAATCGGATGGTTTTGACAACATGGGACCAATCTACTGTAAGAAATTGATGTCATCAAGGGTACAAAAGACAAGGGCATTTGGAAAATCGGGGTACAGCCAATTGTCATCTGCCAAGAGAACAGCTCTCAGCTCTAAAAGAAAGAATCAGTGGCTCTCTCAGAATTCGATAAGCCTTAGACTAAGCTTCATCTAAATTAAAAGGAACCTCTGGCAAAAATAGTTAATGTTCCTGACAGAAGGGCTCACCAAGAAGGCGCCCAAACATTCCAGATGATGTAGCCTGGCTGTAATTTTGAAAGACCAACTTCTAACTTTTTAAATCTTGTTTTATATAAATGGGACTTTTATTTATTGGAAGAGCAAATGGTAAGAATCTTACTTATTCTGGAATAATTGGTAGTTCGAAGGGGTTTATTCAGGTTGTTAATAGTTTAGTTAATGCGTTCACTGTCAGAATTAGATAAATAAATTGTTGCTTGCTGATGATAAAGTGTGTCAGAGGTTTATTTTAGTTAACCACTCCTTTATAACAGATTGGGGGCTCTTTTGATAGATTACAGAGCAAGGCATGCCTCTCTGGCTGCTTTGGTTTTAGCTATTAGAGGGTCGACCTCCACTTTATAACAATGGTCACATATGTAATAATCATGGGGGACTTCAATATGCAGATGAACTGGGAAAATCAGGTCGGTAGCAGTTGCCAAGAAAAGCAAGTTGTGGAATGTCTAAGATTTTTTTAGCGCCAGCTTGTGGTTGAGCCCACTAGGGAATAGGCAATTCTGGATTTGGTGATACATAATAAGGCAGACTTGATTAGGCATCCTAAGAAGAAGGAACCCTGTGAAGGCAGCATCCATAATGTGATAGAATTCACCCTGCAGTTTGAGAGGGAGAAGCTTGAATCAGATGTAACTGTATCACAATTGAGTCCAATGTTAGGGATGAGATCACGGAGCACTTGGAAGTGCATGGCAAAATAGAATGAGTCAGTATGGCTTAATCAAGGGCAGGTCATGCCTGCCAAATCTGTTAGAATTGTTTGAGAAGGTAACAAGCAAGTTAGACAAAGAGGAGCTATTGGACGTGATCTAGTTGGATTTCCAGAAGGCCTTTAGCAAGGTGCCACACAGGAGGCTGCTAAATAAGAGCCCACAGTTTTAGGGGCCAGGTACTGGCATGGATTGAGGGTTGGAAGACTGGCAAAAGGCAGAGAATGAGGATAAAGGGGTCTTTTTCAGAATGGAAACTGCAACTAACAGAGTTTTGCAGGGATCAGCGTTGGCCCACATTATAAATTAAATGATCTGGAGGAAAGAACTGAGGGCATTATTGCTAAGTTTGCAGATGACAGAAAGATGGATGGATAGGATGCTCTTTGGAGTGTTGGTACAACTCAATGAGTCAAACAGCCTCTTTCCATACTGTAGAGATTCTATGATTAGGAAGGAGATCAAAGATTATGGGGAGAATTAGCAGAAGAATGGGGTTGAAAAATATATCAGCCACGATCGAACGGTGCAGGTTTGATGGGATGAATGGCCTAATTCTGCTCTTGTACCTTTTTGTCTTATTAACTCCAACTACTGTTATCTTGTCCTTTAGCACTTTTGTGTAGCTCCTTATCAAATGCCTATTGGAAATCCAGTTACATCTACTAGTTCTTTATTTGCTGTGCTAGTCGTTACCTCAAAAAAAATCTAGTAAATTTGTAAAGCATGATTTTCATAAAGTCATGTTGATTTAGGAAATCACAGTATGATTAGACAAATCACATTGTTAAAACCTCATTAATAATGGATTACTGCAATTTCTCTGACAAGTGTTACACTAACCGAGCCTAGATATTCCACCTCGTCATATCTCCCTCTCTCCTTTTTTGAATAGTGGTATTACATTTGCTAACTTCCAATTTACTATGGCTATTATAGAATCTAGAATCTAGAGTATTTTCAAAACCATACTCAGTGCATCCACAACTTCTGCAATTCTCTTTTAGAATTCTAGGGCTTTGGCCCTCCGTTGGTAGGAATTTGTTGGATTTTAGTTCGTTACTTTTTATACATTTAGAAAACCGATAAGAGCTTTTGCATGTTCCCAGCTAGTTTGCTCCCATTTTATTTTCTTTCTCCAATCAACTTTTTGGCGGCCCTTTATTAGTTTCTAACACTCCTAATCCTCAGACTTAATCCTAATCTTTGCAACTTTATTAGCCTCTTCTTTTAACCTGACATTATCCTCACCTGCCGGAGTAAGCCAGCAATGAGTAAGAAAGATCCAAAGTTTGTTTTTCAATTAAATATATTTTTGTTCAATACTTTGAATCATGTTTGAAAATGTTTCCCACTGTTTATTTACATTCATACCTTTTTAAACTTATGCACCCAGTCAACCATTGTCAGTCTTCCCCACATACCCATGTAACTGGCATTAAATTTACAATTCTTGTTTGCGGCATTGCATGGTCTCCAATAAATATACACTCTCTAAGACACAAAACCCTAACAAGAAAGGTGAATCTACCATGGCCAACAAAACAAATTAAAGACTGCATTAGATCAAAGAAAGTGTATTACAACATTGCTAGAAAATGTGTATGTTTAAAGAGAACAAATTAGAATCAAAAGAGAAGATGAATGCAAGTTAGTGAGAAACGTAAAAGTAGACTATAACATCCTTTAAAACAGCATCCTGCTCACATGGCCATTTGTCAGTCCTTGCATGCTGTAATACTCCGCAAATCAGTGCAAACTGGAGGAACAACATATCTTCAGACTAGACACTTTACACTTTACAACCTTCTGGACTTAATATTGTGTTCAACTCACTCCCATTTCTTGCCTTCTTGTTGCATTCTCTGTCACCATGTTCTTTCTCCCAACTCCAATGGGACCAATTGTTCTTTCCAGTTTGGCAGTTGGTGACACCATTGTTCGGCCATTCTCACATTCTGAATACTTAATCTGCACTGTCAGTACCATTTCTCCCCTGGAACTCTACCTCCACACTATTGCCTAAATGCTGTCCCCGCCACACTTCATGTCAGCTCTGAAGAAGAGTCATCTAGACTTGAAACGTTAGCTTGCGCTCTCTCCGTGGATATTGTCTGACCTGCTGTGATTTCCAGCACTGTATTCATTATGAAAAGAAAAAAATTGGCATGAGAAAATATGGACCCATTGTAGACACACACAGAAACATTTGAACTGGAGAATAGGGAAATGGAGGAGTAATTAAGCAATTACTTTTGGCCGGCTTCATGAAGGAAGATTCAGAAAATCTACCAGAAATACTAGGGAACCAAGGGACTTGTGAAAATGAAGAACTGATAAATAAATCAAGTAGGACTTAAAAAATTAATTGAATTCAAAATAGGAAAGTCTCCTGGACCAAATGAGCTACATCCCAGGGCTGAAAGAGGTGATTCTAGAGATAACAGATGAATTGATGGTTATTTTTCAAAATTCTATAGATTGGGAAAGATTCCTACAT